ATGGGTACAATCAAGGTGTTGGCCAGGATTGGAGTCTTATTTGAAGGCTTAACTGGGGAAGGATCCACTTTACAGCTCATGTGATTGTTGGAAGAATTTCAGTTCTTCAAGAGCTGTTGTACTGTGAGCCTCAGTTTCCAGCTGGCTGTTGGCCTCCCCAATATGGCAATTTGCTTCATCAAAGCTAGTAAGGGAGAGAGTCTGCTAGCAATAGAGAAATCAAATCTTACTCTTATTTATGATGGAAATGACATTCCATTGTTGGTTGGAAACAAGTCACTAGACCAGCCCACACTCAAAGGGAGGGGCTTATGCAGGGCTTGAGTACCAGGAGGCAGGGGATATTGGGGACCATCTTAGAGTCTGCCTGCCACAAAGACTCTTTTTTTTTTTTTTTTTAATGGAAAAAAGGAAAAGGGTTTTTCCCGAGCTCTCCTAATATATTTAAAGGTCAATTTTTCTGCCAAACATAAAAAGTGACAATTAAGTGTGATGTGGGATTCTGAATGAAGATGTTAGGGATATTTGAACAAGGTCCTTAATTTAGTGAAAGATATTGTACCGATGTTAATTTCCTGGTTCTGATCATTTCTGTGGTTGTGTAAGGTGTTAGCCTTGAGGGAGCTGGGATGCAGAACATGTCAAAACTTTCTGTACTATTTTCGTAACTTTTCTGTAGGTCAAAAAGTAGTTTGAAAGTTAGAAAAAGCGACTTGTAAAACTTTAAAATTCCTACTTATATAAGCCTATATTGCAGCTGTAGTTTATTCAATAATTTTAACATTAGGTCTTATCAGAATTGTTTTTGTTGATGAAATCTGAAGTTTTTTGGGGGGATAGAGATATGTTCAAAAGGGCATAATAAAGAAAAAATCTGTAATTTTTTTGGTACATAAATTTAAAAACCTTTGGTAGATAAATATGCTTAAAAATGTATAGGCAAAATCTCCAAGTTCTTTTTTTTAATCCTCATTTGAGGATATTTTTTCCATTGCTTTTCAGCGAGAGTGGAAGGGAGAGAGAGAGAGAAACATCGATGTGAGAGAGACACATCAATTGGTTGCCTCCCACAAGAGCCCTGACCCCAACCAGGGCCAGGGAATGAGCCTGCAAGTGAGGTATATGCTCTTGGCTGAAATCGAACCCGGGACCTTTCAGTCTCAGGGCCGATGCTCTAACCACTGGGCAAGACGGGCTAGGGCATCCGAGTTTTTTATAGATAAATCTCTTTAGAACATCCTTCCTAATGGAAATACAATAAAAATCTCACTATCACTACCTAGTATAACTAATTATATATTTGTTTTCTGCTTGAACTTTAGTTGAAACATGTTAGAGACTTTGCATGACACCAACTGCACTTCACACATCAATTTAAAATAATCACCATTTCTAAAATAGTATTTGATAGCCAGATCCGATTCCTGCCTGTGCCGAGCACTGTTTTCAGATGTCGGTCTGCTTGTTGCTTAGATATAGACACTTATGTTCCAAAATAGTGTGGTCTATCTCTCCACACTGTTCCATGTGATGAAAGCAAAACACTTCAGCCCCTCAGAGGCCGTTGAATGTCATGTAAAGCAAGAGCAAATGGCTCCTCGTTTGCTCCCTGTTTGAAAGGGCTGCTAGTTATTAATACTCTCTCACTATTTCACTTGTCCTGGCCCAGCAACTTAAAGCTTATGGGTCTCCGTTGGTTACACCTCTTAAGAGAGCTATTTGGAAACACTCTAGACATTTTTCTTAGGACCTATTTTTAGAATGGAAGGCCTAATGGTATTTTAATGCCTCTATATATTCCCAGAACCAATCTCGAGAAAAAAAAAAAGTCTGTTACCTTTTGAAATTTAGCAAAGCTGGTGGGATTATCATTGCTCCTCTGAGAAGCATTGTGTTAAAGGGTAAATTGTGATTTACAAAATGTCAGTGCTAAAGGGACCATGTGAGCTCAGCTCTTCCAAATCCCTCACTTTTCAAATGAGGAAACTGAGTCTTGGTGTGCGTGAACTGTTGGCACAAGATCAGATGGTGAGGACTGGCCACGTGAAAGTTTTAGGGTGGTGGACTCATCCTTTCCTGCAAAAGTGACCACAGGAAGAGTCCACGAGAATGTCAGCTTCTGAGTTAGAGACACAGCTTTAGAACAGAAAACAGTCTGCTGGGCCCCTGCATGAAACTTCATTGCTCTTACTATAGAGGATTCTGAGAAAAAATGTGGAGGGATTCAAAACTATGGGGATTCAGAAGTGAGGAAATGTCCCAGGACCACCTGGGAGAGTTGAACCTCGAGTGTTAGCTTTGCAGTGATCTCCCCACCCCACAATGTTGGATGCATTCCCCNNNGTAAATGGCATCTGAAATGCCGTTAATTAGAGATTCCTTTGCTCCAGCCAATCTTCTAATGACGCAGACACCTTTGGGACGGTTAAGTTTCCATCTCTTATTATAAATTACTCTGTGCTATTTTCATCTTTTCCCTTTGAAAACCTAATTGTGATCTGCTGCTCACTTGGAGAAGGTAGTTTTTACGGTAGGAAAGGAAGAAAAATGTTTAAGAGCAAGTAATGCTCTGGTGGAGGTGGCTGTCTAGGTGGGGTGCTTGAGTGGGGTCAGGATGGTATCAGAGACTGGGACCCAGGCCAGGGACGCAAAGGCAAGGAAGTAGGCCAAAGCCAAGCCTCGCTTGTCTTGTAGCTCTACTGTGGGCTATCTCACACCTGGAACAGAAAGACAAACGGCTTTACCCTGCCCTTGTGTTCCTTAGCCCCTTTGGCAAGTTCTGATTCAGTGCAGGTTAACTGGGAGTTTGAAGAATGAAGGGAGAGCCCCCTCTGTGGATCAAGTTCTTAATCACCCTTGAGTTGTGCTTTGGAACACACACTCCTGAAGTAAGAATTGACGTGTAATAGAGCAGTTAATAGAGCGGGTGCTTGGGTCCATCTGCCTGGGTGTGAATCCTGACTCTGACACTCAGGACCTCAGCGACCTTGGGCAAGTCTCTTACTTTTCCTGTGGTTCAGTTTCCTTACTTGGGCATTAGGGGTGACAGTGTTAGCGCTTATCTTTTAGGGCTGTAGTGAGAAATGAATGCGTCAGGGCACATGAAATACTCAGACAGAGGCTGGCCAAGTGTGAGCTAATGCACAGGAATCCTGTGTTCTCCACCTCCCTCAACCATGCGCCCATATTTTATTTGAGGAAATAGTCTCTAACTTCTCTGGAATAGGATAGAAAATGTTGTTTAAGAGATACTTTCTTAGTCCCGTTAATACCTAATTTATTTTCTGAATGGCAATCAGTTCTCTTTGCACCAAGATACTTGCCTGGAACAGTTCGTGTTTTATGCCCCAAACCTAATCTTTCAAATGCAAAACCTCTCCTTTCAGATCTTCACTAACAAATTTAATTACATATTAATGTAGGTAGATAACTATGTGACTATCAGGACTCTAAAAGATATTCAGTTTTGACCCTGGCCAGGTAGCTCAGTTGGTTAGAGCATCGTCCCAATGTGCCAAGGTTGCAGGTTCAATCCCCAGTCAGGGCACATACAAGAATCAACCAATGAATGCATAAATAAGTGGAACAACACATTGATGTGTCTCTCTTTCTCTCTCTTTCCCTTTCTCTCTCTCTTTAAAATCAACAATAAAAAAAGAAATTCAGTTTTAACACAAGTTTCTGAGAGGAAAGTCAAAAGCACTCATATCTGAATGTAACTGCTGAGTACCCCTTTCCCACATTTTTAAGTATAACAAGATCTCTCTCCCAAGATTCTTCATAGGACTCATGTTTCTGTAATTCGTAGAAATATGAATGGGGTATTGTAAATGTGCTATTTGATCAAAGACCTTTTAAAGTCAAATTATTACATCCTTATATGAGAACAGACAATGTAGGAAAGTAGATAGAGTGTGGACTAAAAGTCGAAACATCTGGATTTTCTTCCCAATTCTTCCATCAAGAAGCTGCGTGACCTTCAGTCGATCCCAGAATCAGGTCCTGTCTCAAACGAAGGATTTGAATGAGGTGTTGCTTAAGGTTTCTTACAGCTCTAATATTGTGTGGCTCTGAAATATTTTAATGACACTACATTAATGAAGTGTGTGCTTTGCTTTGACTGAGATGTCTATTTTCTTTCCCACTTTTCTTAAAACCATTTGAGATGCCTTTGCTAGCTTGCTCACCAGCTAGGCTGAGAGATGCAGTCTGTAGCTGCAAAATAGAAAAAGCCACCTGGGTCTATAAGAACAAGTCCATGGCCTTGGCATTGTAGCATCCTAGGCCCCAGACACAGAGCTATGGAGCCAGGAGTGTTTGATGGCATGTCAGATAAATTAAGACAAGCTCCGAGGCATCATTACTCTTACCATTAATAGACAGTTGTCTGCATTTTTCTATTTTGCAGAAGATAAAATAGAAATCTGAGAAGATAAATAACTTTATAAGCTATCGACAAATACATTGTTTATAGCTGTAGATAAATAACTGAGTTGCCACTTGTCTTTATGCTTCCTTTCCAGGGAGGCAATGGAAATTAAGCAGCGGCTTTCTCTCTGCCTCTCAGAGATTCGTTGAATTTCTGAAAGGGAAAAAAGAGAAATGAAATTAACATATTTTGTGACCTACTTCTGCCTTTCCAATTTGGGGGCCTTCATTTCCATGTTAATTTATGCTTTTTGATATTAAGTAGAGCTCTTTTTGTGTTGATGGGTTTACTTTAATAACACAAATCTAAAAAAAAAAAAAAATTATTGGGGGAGTCAATGCTCCTACAGGAGATAGTTAGATGGTATGTTATGGAACTAGCTCACTCCCTCTAGAACCATGACATTAGGGTGGCTGATTTCTTATGCGATTGAGTGTAGAAATTTAAGTTGTTAACATAGTAAATATCAATTAAGATAATATTGCAACCCTTGTGGCCAACTTTAATTTCATTATTATTTCAAGTAGTAGTCTATAAAAATATTAATTTTCACCTTTCTCTATTCTTCTAGTCCCGGACTCCTGCCCTGTCTGTCCTTCTGTGAGGCTGCAAAAGAGGGCTGTGAACCAGTCCTGGAGATGGTGAATGCCTCCTGGCCCTATTTCCTCCAGTGCTCCCAGTTTAGCGACCAAATGGAAAGCAGCAACGTCAGCAGGATTTGCTTCTCACCGGAGCAAGAAAAAGGAAAGCAATGTAGGTGTCTGTGTTCTGTTGCATTTTTAAAAATTTTAATTGAAGTATATCATTCATACAAGGCTGCATGCAAATAGCATACACGGTGCAATAGATGTCATCAAAGTGACCAGACCCATGTAATCAGCATCCAGGTCAAGAAACAGAGTATTATCAGCATCTAAGACACACTCTCAAGCCCCCTCCCAGTCATCTCACACTCCCAAAATAACCTCTCTCCTGACTTCCAGCACCTTGGGTAGTTTTGTCTACTTCTGAACTTGATGTTAATGGAATCATACAGTATGTGCTCCTTTTTGTATCTAGCTGCGTTTGCTCAATATTATGTTGAGGAGATCAAGTATATTTTCAACTTCTAGTGGCTTGTTCATCCTCATTGTGAATAGTATTCTAACACATGATTATACCACAGTGTATTTTTCTTGATGGATATTATGACTTGCGATGCTATGACTATTCTTGGACATGTCTTTGATTGAGCAGGACTATGTATTTGTTCAGCAAAAGAGTTTTTTAAGTGGTTATAGCAATTTATACTTGTATGAGCAGTGTGTGAAAATGGCAGTGGCTCCAAAGCCTCCCCAACACTTGGTATTGCCTGTCTTTTTAATTTTGGCAATTCTGATAATAGTATTGTGGTATCTCTTTGCAGTATATCTGTGATTTTAAGTTGCATTCCCTTATGAATTTGATTGAATTTTCAAAATTTTTTTATTTGAGTATCTCTTTTTGCAAAGTGTCCATGTATTTGGCCCATTTTTAAGTCAGGTAGTCTGTCTTTGTTTTTGACTTACAGTTCTTTATGCATTCTGGATGTGCACTCTGCTGGATATATGTACTGGGAAGGTTTCCCACTCTGTGGCTTGCCTTTTCTCCCTCTCATTAGTATCTGTAATGGAATAGAAAGTCTTAATTTTAATGGGTCTACATTACTGATTTTTTTCTGGTCTTCAGCTTTTTAGACTCTCCTGCTCCTGAATGTAAAAGCCTCTTTCTAAGTTACTAGAGAGGCCCTTTGGCTTTCACAGATGAGTTACAATTGCCTGTAGCTTTGAGTTATCTTTTTCTAGGACATTGATTCTCAGCAGTCAGCCAACCAATCCATTGTCCTCTGTACGTGTCAAACACTTGATAAGTTACCCCAGTAAGTATATTCCTTTCCATAAGCATACTATTCCAGGTCACCTCTGATGAAGGTTTTAAAAATTGGACCACCCCCTTAGCATCTGTTTCCACTTAACATCAACGATGTTAACTTCACTGCCATCCCAGCTGTGAGTGATCCAGATCAAGAACACCATCCTATCACCTCCTTTCTTGGATCGCTCCTGGGACTGTCACAAGTTGGGTTTTCCAGGAGCGGTCACTGAGATGGACTTTGTTGTACAGGGTATTTATTAGGTATCAGCAGTTATGTAAAGGAGAGAGAGAAAGGAGGATTGGGCAGAAGGAGACATTGAAATGAGATCCAGGCCAGGAAAGCCTCAGCTAAATCCGTGGGAGCTCTGGAGCACATGTGGCCTGAGAGAGCTGTTGCGTGCTAGGCTGAGGTAGCCGGGCCTTTACAGTGCTGTGCCACGTAATGATGTTTTGGTAGATGACGGTCCTCATCTACGACAATGGTCCCACAGATTATGATGCAGATGAGAAATTCCTATTGCTTAGTGACGTGGTAGCCATCATAATGTTGCAGCACAAGGCGTTGCGCACGTGTTTGTGGTGATGCTGGCGTAAACAGCCTTCTGCACCTGTCACATAAAAGAACAGCACATCCAGTTACGCCAGCACACAATGCTTGATAACGCTAATACGTGGCTGTGTTACTGCTTTGTGTATTCACTAGACTATACTTTTTAGCATTATTTTAGAGTTTACTCTTTCTACCAATAAAAAAAGAAATTTGTGGTAAAACAGTACGCCAAGCTATGCCGGCAGCAGCCTCGTACTTTTCCTGTTTACCGTGGCTCTTGATTGTATCATTTTCTCTTGCGCTTGATTTAATGGCCTGTTGTTTTGTAGAATCACAAACTCTGTGCAGTCACATGCTGTGCAGTAATGTTCTGTAAGATCTGTGGCCTATTCCGTGTAGCCTAGGTGTGTGGGCGGGACCGTCCGGGTTTGTGTAAGTGCACTCCGTGATGTTCACACAAGGACAACATTGCCTAATGACGCATTTCTCAGAACATATCCCTGTTGTTAAGCTGGCCGTGCCTGTATGTCCCCGCCCCCAGCCCCCAAGCAGTCATGGATGTGGGCCTTCCCGGGAAGTGTGTGTCTTGGGCGAGGCAGAACTTGAAGGAGCCAGAGGCTGCTGGCTGACAGCGGGGGTAACAAATTCTCTCCCGAGGGGTAGGCACACGGAGGGCAAACGGATCGCCTGGCCCGATCCAAGACGGAGCTGATTTTGCGGTGTTTCTAAGGCATGTTATTTAAGGCTCCGGCTACCTCTGGTTTGTTTCCGTTCTGAGGGTGCACTTCTCCAGTGGACCCCACTGAGAAACTGAGACGTTCACTGGGTTCTGCTCCTTTTCGGGGGGTCCCCAATTCTGATGTTTTTCTTCTGAGGACAGCAGGATGGCTGGAATTTCCACCATACTTTGCAGAGGTTTTCTGCTGAGCTCTTTAGCTTCTGGCTCTTTGTGGCAAATGCCTTGAAGGGAAATCCTTTCCATGGCCCACTTGTCTATGTATCTTTCCTCACTCCTTATTTGACCCAATACCCAGTTCCTTTGGCGGCACCAAAATGATAACTTTTGTCTCTAACCCTGTGGGATTGCCAAAACTCTACTGGCTTCTCTGCCTCATCTCCAGATTCTCAGTTCCCAACTCCATGCCAAGAACCAGCAAGTTCCACAAGGAAAACAGCATTGCAGGACCTAGATTCTTTTATTCTGTGCTTATCTTCTCCCTGAAATCTTAGCCACTCACCTCCTACTTGTCTCATGGGCTATCAGGTGCCTTTAAATAGATGTTTCTTGTGTTTTATCTGGCTCTTCAGGTTTCATGGTGAGGGCATTGACCTGCCACAAGTTACTGCCTTGTAGCCAAAAGCAGAAGTTTGTTTTATTTCTTGTTAGCACAGTGTTTAGTAGAGGTCTGCTGCTAAATTAGGATTCCCTCCAAAAGATGGTATATAGCAATAAGCCATCGGAAGGATGACTGAGTGATTGTATCTGAAAGAGAAGTCACTGAAGTCTTTCTCTTTCATCTACATTTGCCCCTCTTTTGGTATGAACACTTTATTAGTGGTCATTTGGAAAATGTAGCCTGTTGATAGAGGACTTAAGAATCCACAGATAAAATGTGAAAATGAAAACCTCATCAGTGCTCTTTCACATTGATGGTCAAAAAGTACTAGTTCTTGAAAATCAAAATAACATCAGTAGTCTTTAATAGCTGAAGCTGAAATGCCATTTAATATAGGTTCTCCAGATATCTGATCTTAGAAAAGATTGATGATTTATTTATATTTGAAAACTTGTGTTTAAAGAGAATAGAAATTTCCTAAGTACATTCATCTGAGATCCTCTACTTGTCATAGTCTTTTTAGAATTATTGGTTGTAATATTTTTTTCATGTAGAATTAATTCAAGCGGGATGCCAGGCATCATAGAAATGTTCATAATTTTTGTACTAGGGACAAAGCTATTGCTAGCTATGATCTTTGTGTGTATATAAGAGTATAATTTCTAGCACACACAAACATAGTTACTAAAAATATGTTCATGTACTAAGAATCTACTTTATGCCAACTAGAAAAGTATCATAGAATATAGTCTTAATCATATAATGGCTTGTGATGTAGGGCCACTTACAAGTATAACCAATGAAGTCCTTTTCTTGTTTTTTCATTTATTCAGTGAATATTAATTGAGTACCTACTCTGCCTAGGGCATTTATCCAGGTAATCTGAAGAAATAAAAGTAATTACAGTGTTCATAACATTAATTTATAGCCATCTAGTGTGGTGGTTCTCAACCAGGGATGATTTTGCAGCCCCCATCTGGGAACATTTGGCAATATCTGTCAACATTTTGGTTGTCACAACTCTGGAGAGAGAAGGAGTTGCCATAGGCTTCTAGTGGGTAGAGACCCACTATGCTGCTAAACAACCTGTAATGCACAGGACAGGCCCCAATGCAAGAAATTATGTGGCTCAAAATGTCAAGAGTACTGCTATTGAGAAACCTTGGTCTAGCACAGCACTCTATGCTTTTCAAATACTTTAATAATAGTAATAATAACAACAATAATAATAATAACCATGCTTCCCTCCTGTAAGGAGTGTTAAACCTAATCTGGTACACCCATATGTGAGAAACTGTAAAAGGAACATTAACTCCGACGTCACAGAAACTGTAAAGGGACACAGGTTGAATGTCAGTGGAGCCGAGTGGAGCCAACTGCATAAAGGAAGTGTGAATTTTTGAAAAGGGGAGTGATCCCATTTGGCAAAGAGGAGGAGACAAGGGGCTCTGGTGTGGGCACTCAGCACTGAGAGCTTGTGTTGGCTGTCGGGTTCCCACTTAGCCCATGAAATGAGTGATGACTGAAAGTTGACTCCATCTCAGTCTTCTGCTTCTCGCTTGTGAGATCATCTGCCCCAAGAAAATAGGAACCCCCTTTGCATTAGGGATCCCATTCTCCTTTCCAAAGTGCTTTCGCAGCTGTAAGCCCACTTTGCTTCCAGAGTGAATCTCTGAGGTGTCGTCATCTTCATTTAATAAGTTAGGAAGCTGAGAGGTGCAGGGAGGTTGGTCCAAGGTTATTTTAAATCCAGCCGCCGGGGCTGTAACCCTCTACCCAACAGTCCACCATCCTGGGAGGGACCATCCTGGTTTGATTGTTAAGCCTTGAACACTACCCCCTGCTCCAGCCCCCTTCTCACGAGAGCTTTCAGACTGAATTGAGCCAAAACCCACAACTTGCAACAGCTGCTTTTTCCAGTGCAGAGCTCTGTAAATTCAGTTCGTCGTCTCCGAGCATCCTTTAAATCCGTC